GGGAGGAATTCAATAATTTGAACCTTAGTGGTCAATGATGCACCCTGTGGCTATTCCTGCTATTGCTGAAGAAAAGAGCTTTGTTATATTCTAGATGTGGAATAACGCTTGCTCACTTCTATGAATATTTAAAATACCATCACAGTTTGAGTACAAGAGAAATCTGTGGAAAATATTAAGTGAGTAGAATATGCTGTACAGCATTGTGTCCTTTTCTAGTGTTTTACTTCAGATTGATGTTGATTCTTCTCTCTTGTAGGTGGTAATAATACAGACTTACTTGCGACGATGGCATGCCATAAATGCAGTACGGAAATTAAGACAAGAGAAAAGGTTACGGTTGGAATGGGAGGCACAAGAAGAAGTAAGAAGGAAAAAAGAGAAGGAAGAAAAATTGAGAAGGGAGCATGAGCGAAGATTGAATCCTAAAACAAAGGAAGACTTTGAACTGCTTTATAATGCTTTAGAATGTAAGTTTTTCTTAAAGGGACATTCTCAAATCAGCTTAGGCCCCAAAGTTAGGTCTTGTTGAAAACAATATCTTACTGAGCCCTGGCATCAGTGGGAATACTTCTACTATTTTGTCAGCTAGCAGTTGAAATACTTTGTTTGTATAGAACTATCTAGTAACCAAATATTTCTTCATTCCTGTTAGGAAATAATCAGCTTACTGAATGCTGCTGATAATTGTTCAGTTTGGCATATTTACTGTTGGCTTCATCCATCTCTAATGCCAAGTCCAGTTGGAAGAACAGGAAATGTTTTTGTAATTTAGTAAGATTAAAATAATTGATGGACTTACCCAGTTGACAATAAATCTAGACCAGACCTATCTTTTAATGCCCGTAGTTTAGAATGTTAAACATTTAAACTGTACCAGAAGGTTGTGAAACTTCAGCCAAAAAGTAAAAAGGCATTTGGCATATTTTGCTTAAGCCTTTCCAATGCTTTCTTGTCTTAAGTTTTTTTCACTTTGTCCTCCTCCTTTTTGTGTCATTGTTTAGGAAACAGTTGCCAAAATTAAAACATGCTGCTTAGTATCCTGTATGCTGCCCCTAATGGAGTGAGTCATTTCTAATATAAAAAAAGACTTCTCTAACATTTCCCACTTATAGTTTGGGGTAGATTTTTGTGGAAAATATTAAGTGGGTAGAATATGCTGTACAGCATTGTGTCCTTTTCTAGTGTTTTACGTTAGATTGATGTTGATTCTTCTCTCTTGTAGGTGGTAGTAATACAGAGGTGGTAATATTAGCCACTGTCATAATGGCTAATAGAGGAATCAGCAAAACACACAAGTGCTATGTTGAAAATATCAGTGAAAATGTTTTTGAAGAAAACCAATAGACATGTAAAAAATAGCTTCATGCCGGTATTGGCATATAGAGTACAGAATGTGCTTTTGAAATGTCTCATGTTGAGTTTTGTGAGTTAACTATAGCAAAAGATGCTGCTATGTCATTGGCTTGCTATGTGGCAGAGGGAGCAGACCCTAGTGACTGTAATACAACAACTCTTGAGCTGCCGTTCTTTTTCTTCCTTTTCTTTTCTTTTCTTTTTTTTATGCCACACTTGTTAGGGTGCCTTTGGCAGATCACTTCTAATTTTTGAGAGGGTAAATCACTAGTCAAGTGACAAGCATTCTTGTTAGTGACCAGAATTCTTAAAAGTGACACATGATGTTCTGGGTCTCCATTTTTTTTATATACCTTTAGCACTTTCTGAGAGAGAGCTCCTGTAAGGTGTGCTAGATTTGAGTATTCAAAACCAAGTGAACTTGCTTTTTCATAATCAGCTGTATAAGGGAATGCTGTATGGCTGATGATTATGAAACAGCAACACTAACAGTGGCTAAGAGTTTTTTAAAAGGCTGTTTCACAGCCAACAGTATTTTAGCTGGCTGTGTAATCCAATCAGTTTTTAATTTAAATTGTAAGAGGCTTATTTGCAATAGAAATAAATCTTAACATTGAATTCTTGAATGAGCCTAGATATCTGTAGATTTGAAACTTCTGGTTTACAAGTGTTTCTCTTTGTTCAGTTAAATACCATTGTGTTCATACAACAACAACCCTGAATTGTGCAAGTTCCCAAATTCATATCAAGGCAACATGTGAAGCATGTGCCAGTATAAATTATATAAAAACAAAATTCCATTACTTAATGTCTGTTAACTCTGGTTGAAAGCATTAGTCTTTAATCTGACTGTTTGCTTCTGTTTTTGTTTGTTGTTATTGTCTGATTCCTTCTCTAGGCTGCAACTGGCAGCAGTCATGCTCCTCATTGGAACAGAGCTTAGTGATTCTAGGAATCACTCATATTTTTCCTACCTGCAGCTAGCACTACTTTCACATTCTTACAGTGTCAGCAGTCTACACAAGCTAAATCACTGTGACAGTAATAGAATGAGATTATTCTCCTCTAGAGATCTGTGAAGGGCATTACTGGTGATCACAACAGGGGGATTTTGTTACAGGGTCAGTCAGAACTAGCAACAGCTTGTAACAAAATTTTGGCAGGGGTGGTGTGTGAATTGTAAACAAGATCTATTATGTTCCTGTGTGTATACTTATTAGTAACAAAATGTTATTAATTATTGTGAAGTGCACACATGATAACGATTAATTAAAACTGGAAAGAAACAAGGAATGGGCCAAATAAAGATTTCTGCATATCTGTAAAGTATGTATGCTGCCTGGTTTATTTTTTAACATTGTTGCTTAGCCCTTTTTGGTAAATCTTGACAATTCCAATAACTCTGTGTGTAAAGTTGCTTACTGGAGTTGCCAGCATTGTCTTTGAAAAGGTTGCCCCCTTGTGACATGTGAACTACTGTGCAGTTTTGTGCTGTGTGGTGCTAGTGGCTAAAATGGCTGTTCTGAAAGTATCTTGTGATGCTCTGAACTTGTTGGGAAACTTTAATATTAACTCTATAGCAAAAAGAGCATTAAGAAAATGGGTTTGAAATGGAAGAAGTATGAGATTCTGGAGATAATTTAATCATACACAAACCTTTTTCTTCAGCAATTCTTCCCTAATATGGAAAAGCATGTTAGGTTTCATTTTCTCGCAAATACATGTAGAGCATACTTGCAATGGATACATTATTTTTTAACTGTTTTTAAATAATGACAATTTAAGAAAACGTTTATGCATAGGGTTTTGACTTTGCAAAAAAAACTCTCACAAAGAAGATAAGTTATACAGTAAACAAAAAAGCATTGTTCAGTTTTAAAACCTCTTCATTTTCTTAAGAGTAGACAAATGTTCATAAGGAGATCTGTCTTACATATATCAGCACTCATAATATGTCACATTGTTCTCTACAACACAGTCAGGTATAGAACTACGTGTCTGTAGATGTATTCAGTAATATCTGTTGTAAACCACACAACTTTGTTATCTAAGTGCTACAGCTAATCTAGCAATTTCTTGAGCTTCCTATTTCTTCATTTGGCCCTTAGGAGTCAAGAGGCTAGATTCTCATTACTGTCAACTATTGAACATAATGCAATAACTTTCATCTGTGACTTGGGTGTATGGTTCTTGTGTGTAGTGCTCAAGCCTTGGAGGGGTGAAGAGGAAAGGAAAGCAGTGCTTAGTTAATCTACCTAGATATCTCCACTAATGGACCTCTCTCCTCCTGAGATGCCAAAATGAGCTATCCCTTGCAATGTGATCTGTAAATGGGATGAAATGGACATATCTTGAAACCAGTAGCAAGAGCTTAAGCTGTTATGTCACTCCCAGTTTCCTGGGTGTGTTTCATAGGATACTGGTTCTTTTTTTTATATGGATTGATAAGCATTGAAATCCTTCACAAGATTGAAATTTAAACCATCATAAATAGACACCTCACTGTTAACACCTCCACTGAGATGATTTGGGATAATTTAGACCTTTGAGTCTTTGTCTAAGTGTCCAAAGAGCTTAAAATTAAAAGTAAGTTTACCCTGTATGCTCAGTTCATCTTTTGAAGATCATCTTTGTAACTATAAGGACTAGGGCAGGGGTACGCAGCCCCTCGGCCCACGTGTCAGAGCGGCATGTGAAGGCATTGCTTGGCATGTGTGCCTCAGGGAAGGGGCCAGACCTGCGTTGCCAGAACAAGGTTTGGGCCCCTCACAGCTCCTCCACAATCTACCCCTGGCATGCCAACATCCTACAAGTCAAGTTTGCAGATGTTTTTGGCACTCTGCCCAAAAACATTGCTGACCCCTGGACTAGGGTTTTCTTTTTCATGCAAAACTGTCTAGGATTCTGGAGTTTAAATTGGCAGTAGTAAGAATGTGAATGAATTCATGATAACTGTAACCTCTACAGTTTGATTTTTCTCTGTGCTATTTATGTGAATGAAGATTTTCAAAACAAATAACTTCTGTGTTTTTAAGTTAAGGAACTGAATGTTTGGCTTCAATCAATCATTGAAAAATAAGTGTGTATGGGCAAATTATGAAAGCAAAATGCCCAGCTAGTTAACCTTCAGACATTCTAAAATTAAGACTTTGTTTGTGTATGTGTATATAGTGTGGAGACAAGAGGAGATTGCGCATATTAACAGCACTCTCGGTGGAGCTGAAAGAAAAGCAGCCCTCTGTTCACTTCTAGAACAAGAGACACAGCTGATTGCTTCTATTGGGAGACACAAACTAAATGCAGATGAAGAGAACCAGCAAAAAGCGATACTATATTTTTTGGATAAGGTCAGTGAAGTAATGGCAGTCTTAACATGGATGTTTCCAAAGTTAAAACAGATAATAGTATTTACAAATTCAGAGACAAAAGTAAAGCGCTGTAGTAGCATGAGCAGTTAAATATGGGTGTATTCACTTATTAGTTATTCTTTAAGTTGATTTATGTTGGTAGAATTTAATGAATTTTGTTGTTCTTCAGCACAGAATTGCAGATGTTTTTGATCCAAATATTCCTAGTTGTTGGAAAGAGTGAAGAAAAATGCATTATCAAAGAGTCTATGTGTTTCAGCCTAGGCATGACAGGGTATAAATTATTTCAATGCTGACCTGATGGAATTTTTATTATAGGAATATACTGTATAAAGCACCAGATTGTCTGATATCAGGTGCTTATTGAATGTTTCGTAGTTCTCTTTTAGAGCTGTTGCAGTGTGTTATGGTTGTATTATACTGCATAAAATATAGAATTCATTGTTTTGATGTACAAATCTATGCAAGCCCAAGTACTCATGCTTTATCTACTTGTGAAATGTTTAATTACTCTGCCTATTAGCTTCTTTCTTTCAAAAATACCCAGTGTCAATAATCAAAACTGCGGGGCGGGGGGGAGCGCAGATCAATGTCCCCACAGCGAGGGAGGGATTGGGGCTGGGGCTGTGACAAGTTGCCCAGATGGGGTGAGGGACTTGGGGAGGGGGGCTCCCGCCACTGCGTACTGCCATGCTCCACCAGTCTGGGAGGGCATGGGAGCGGGTGTGTCCCCCCCCGGATCTGTGCGGGGTGGGCTGAGCCAAGCTGTACTCTGGACAAGCAGTGGAAGGTGCTGAGAGTGGGGGCTACGTCCTCCCGCCACTCGGCCAGCCTCCCGGACAAGCCACTTCTTCGCTCTGGCTGGGTGAGCAGCAGCAGGGCATGGCAGCAGACACCCAGATCGGAGTGGGGCCAGTGGCAGGGACTGTGGGGAATTTTAGGGGGCCCTGTAGCCCCTGCTCCACTGCACTCTACAGGGCAGGTGGAGCCAGGGCTGTGCTCCAGGCTGTGGCTGGGGCTAGTGTCCCGGAGCGCAGCCCTGGCTCCACTTGCCCCATGAAGCACCGCCCAATGGTGGGTGGCCGGGGCTAGCCTCCTGGAGCGCAGCCCAGCCCAGCCCTCCCTGCACCATCCCAGACTGGCAGTGCACAGTGGCAGGAACCCCCCTCCCCAAGTTCCATGCTTCCATACCCCAGCTGGGCAGCTTGTACCAGCCCCAATCCTTCCCCTTCTGTGGGGGCATTGATCTGCTCCCCCCTCTGCCCACCACAACAGACTTACCAGCTGGAGATAGTAGCATTGTCCAGTGTGATGAGGACTGCTGCGTTGGCACCGAACCTTTTCCAAATCGATTTGGAGGCTTCAGATTACTTTTAGATATTCTCAGAGTTTTCAGAGACTTGGTTCTTGTCTTAAGTAATGTAGTAATGGCATAAATTTCCTTAAAATAGTTACTGTTGTAGCCTATCTAATATACCATCGCTCCTCTATTTCAAAGGATGCACACCGCTACTGCTTGTTTTGATATGTCTTAAACAATAGTTTAAATATTTATTTTTATTTCTCCTACTATTCAAGTGGGGGGTTGAAGAAGCTGTAGGAGCCAGCAACAGAAAAAAGAAGTTCTGTGTGGTAGGTTTTAGCTACTGGCAATCTTCTGTGATCTAAATCCATGTCTAGTCAGGCAAAAAAATCGTATGTTCTTCAGTTGTTTTTGTACAGTCAAGTTTGCCTGTGCCCTGGGAGAGCATTTTAGGTGTGGTAGGCTGACTTCCATCATGTTAGCCTCTATTTTTATTTATCAAGATAAGCTGCTGGTATTGTTTTCCTAACACTAACTCTTGATATTCCTTCTGGCATGTAGGAATACATGCTGAATTGCATGGATTTATTTTGTATGTGCAAGCTCTGCAGGCATGCCCACAGCCTGGACAGTTTTGTGTAGGAAAATGTAAGCACTTAATTATCTATTCAGGTAAAGCTGTTGGTTTACTTATACAGCTGCTGTAGTTTCTTGTGCATTTTTGCACCTGAACTTCCATTTTCTATTTTTTTATTTTTGTGGTCTTAAAGAAGTCAGGAGGCTGAAGTCACGGTGGACTAAATCCTGCATGTCCCATTGATTTCAACAAACTTCATAGTTTCATAGTTCTCCGCGATGCACGTTTCATGTCGTCTTCCACGTCCACTCACTGGTAGGATAGAAGAGAAAACCACCTGTGTGCCTATCTCCTTTACCACTCACCCCAGAGCATGGTAGTCCTCGATCAGGCGATCAGGGCTTCTCCTGGCCACATCATTAGTACCCACATGGACTAGGACCATGGGGTAGTAATCAGTGGGCTGAATCACAGTTTGGAGCATCCCTTTCATGTCTTGAATTTACATCAGCAGACATTCTGACCCAGTGTAGGTCATTACTAGCTTTTATCAAGACTTCATGACTTAGAAGTGGTAAAGAACTAAACTGAAACAGAGTAATTTGGTCTGGAGCATGGGTGCTCAACCCCCAGCCTGCAGGCGAATTCAGCTCATGAGGCCATGACATCAGGCCCATGGGGCTTCTCAAGGGTTGAAAAATTTTGTGGTGGGGGAGCGGTGGCAATTAACAGTGCCACCCCTATCCCACTGCCAAATTCCGAAGTCCCTCAGGGTCCTGTCACACTCCCTTCCCCTGCAAGGCTGAATCTGGCCTGTAGATGGACTGGCCCTTGCCCATGCGGCCCATAGTGCAAAAAGGTTTAGCATCACTGGTCTAGAGCAGTGATTCTTAACCAGGGTGCTGCAAGGTGTGAGAAGGCAAGTTCTCACTTGTCACCATCCAGCCCCTGTGCAAGGAGGTAAGCACTGTAGTACATAAATTAGTTTTTGAAATGGGATATCTCCAAATTCTGAAAAGCTTGGAAGTAGTGCCTTTAGTTTAGAAAGGTTGAGTGCCATGGAGTCCTAAAGCAGCAGGGCTAGAAGGCATCTCGGAGGGCATCTACTCCCCTGCCTGAGGCAGAAATACCCCTATCCAAACCATCCCATACAGCCATAATCTAAACTTTACATAAAAATACCCTCAACCTTGACATAACATAGACCTACCACCCTAACCTGTCACAGGTAAACCACGGAACCACAGCAGCTAGTGTCCTGCTTCTATAAAATGTTGTCAATATTTGCTCAAGAGGTCCCAGGTAGAGGGCCATGCCCCTGGCTGCAGAGGACGGAAACCCCCCACAGTTTATACCAGTCTGTCCATGGGGTAGATTCCTTCCTGACCCCAAATATGGCAGTCAGTCTGACCCTGAGCAGAGGGGCAAGACCCTCTAGCCAGCAACCTCACAACAAGCGGTGCGTTCACAAACCACTACACCTTAGAGAGAACATTGGCAGGGAGCTCCAATGATAGAGCCGGCCCAGCAGGGGCTGCACTCCTCACCGCAATGCGCAGTGCTGGTTGGAGCCTTACGCCGCCAGGCACCAGCAGTTGCGCCGGGCATGAGTGCCCTGAGCACCCCTGCCTACTGCTGCCACTACTTGTCAGGGCTGTGCACCATGGAGGGAGTGTGGGATTGGAGAGAGTCCCCACACACCCCTATCCTCTCACCCACACACTGCCCACTAGAGCTCTGCGCTGCTGCTGACCCCCAGGGCCTGGGCTCCACGCTGCCGCCAACCCCAGCCCCATGCTCCACCCAGCTGCAGTTCTGCCCCCACCCTGTCACTTCCATACCTGCTGGGTTTTAGTCTCAGCAGGAGCATTGGCACACCCCAGTCAAAGTCCCCAGCCTTGGCTGAAGAAAAAAAAAAGCTGTTGGGGAGGGGGAAGAGGAACAATCAGCAAAGCCCAGAAGCATGGGAAATACTAATGTTATAGCTACACTTAGATCATCTCTGACCAGTGGCTATCCAACCTCCTCTTGAACACCTCCACTAGTGGAGAGTCCACAACTTCCATTGCCTCGCTATTCTCACAGCGAAGAAGTTTTTCCTGTTATTCAGTCTAAACCTACTTTGCTGACACTTCAAGCCACCGGTCCGTGTCCTCTTCTCTGCACCAAGAGGAAAAGGTGCTTACCCTCTTTATGGCAGCCCTTAAGGTATTTAAAGACTGATATCATGTCCCCTTTTAAGTGCCTAGTTCCTTCAGCTACTCCTCATGACTTGTCTTCCAAACCTTTGATCATCTTTGCTGCCCACTTCTGGACCCTCTAAGTTCTCTATATCCTTTTTAAAATGTGGAGGCCAGAATTGCACACAGTACTCCAGATGAGGCCTAACCACTGCCAAGCAGAGAAGCATTACCACCTCCCGGGTCTTGCACCTAATGTTTCTATTGATGCAACTCAACACTGCATTGGCCTTTTGTGCAGCTGCATTACACTGCAGATTAATATTGTTTGATCTGCCAAGACTTCCAAGTCCTTTTCCATAAGAGCTGTCATGCAGCCAGGTGTCACTCATTTCGTATTTGTATTTTTGATTATTCCTACCAAAGTGTATCAACTTATATTTGTCCATATTGAACTTCATCCTCTGAGCACTAGCCCAAATTTCCAACCTGTTGAGATCCTTCTGAAGTACACTTACATCCTCCAACATGTTTACAGTTCTTCCAAGTTTCATGTCATCTGCAAATTTGCTCAAGTTTGGTCTAAAGTAAATTCATTAACTGATTATCAGAGCCGTACTGTGTTTTTTTCGGCACTAAATCAATGGGAAGCTGGGTGACAGTGACCACAAGCTGATCACCTTCACCATCCACCATAAAGCTGGCAAGTCAGTCAGCAACACGGAAGTCCTTGACTTCAGGAAAGCCGACTTTGACAAGCTCAAGAGGCTTGTCAGCAAGGCCCTAAGGGACCACGACCCCAGGGAGAGGGGAGTTCAAGAAGAGTGGTTGCTCCTCAAGGGAGTGATCCTCAATGCACAAGCTAATTCTATTCCGTCTCGGAGGAAAGGCAGCAAGAGGGCACAGCAGCCCCCCTGGC